CATACACTGACACCACAAAATCTCATTACACACCAATTAAATTTATTTCCATAACATGAAACTATTTTTAAAAGAAAGTACACAATATTAATTTTCTGTAGGTTCAAACAGTGCATTAAATGGATACCCGAGTCAAAAGTTATGGATTTTATAAGTTTTGAAAAATTCTGTCAGCTTCAGGAAATCGATTACCCCAATATTGATAATCGATTTCCTCACTTCCAGAGGCCAATTTTCTCAATTTTTGAATTGGAAATCGATTTCCCAAAAAGGAGTAATCGATTTCCACTACCCAGAATCAGTTTTTATGCTGTTTTAAGTACGAAAATCACTTTTGTTCACATTTCCAAACAACCCCAAACATCCCTCAACACTTATTTGGGTTTCTCAACTTTATTACTCATTCACATACTCTATAATAACATTTCTATTTTACCAAACATGCAATTACACACATAAATCAACTCAATTTCATATGTTTTTACAAATATCGACAATGACACCCAATTATACCAGTTTACAACCAAAATCAAGTCTTTCAATTTCACCAATTATTCATACACATTACACAATATTCCAAATCATTTCATGTCATAAATTTCATCAAATAAACCAAAAATGTGTCAACAATTCATCAAAGGGTTCAATCACCCAAAGCAAACATCATGAAATAGAGAACACCTAACTATGGAAAATTCTAAATCCCTAACATGTCCATCATTATGCAATCCCTTATAAAGTTAGAACCCCCTTACCTTAGATTGACGATTCTCAACTTCTACAGTAAATTCACTTGCCCTAGCCTCATGTTTATGTTCTTCTTTTCACGTTCTATTTCTCGTTATATTTCTCGTTCTATCTTCTCACTTTGTTTTCCCAAATATAACCCTTGGACCCTTAATTATGAATTCCAACTTTATCCTCATCTATTTAAATAATCATTTTAATTATAATTATTATAATTACCACACTAATTGTACTTATAATAATACAAAATATATTCTCCGTCCACCCCTAGATCTACGTTATTAGCCATACACCCCAACCTTAATAGTTTATATTCTTAAGGTAAATACCCTTCACTAAGGCATCCTAATACCGTAAAATATCATCAACTCATACAAGCACACAACTTCAGATAATTAATTTATTAAAATAAATCCGATAAAATTCGGGGTGTTACACACCAAACTTTCAGTGTTCGATGGCAAGAACTGGAATCGTTGAATAATTCATATGTGTGTGTTGTTTGGAGCTCAATATGTTCTTGATATCGCCAACCATGGTTATGTTTTAGTTTCACTTCCAGAAAAAGCAACGGATGTGCAGAGAAATGCTCAACGTGATCTGGGGAAGAAAGATCAGAAGGCGTTGTTCTACATCCATCAGTGTGTGGATGTGAATGTGTTTGAGAAAATTGTTGATTCGACGATGACAAAGGTTGCGTGGGATACACTGGCTAGGTGTTACAGTGGTGACGTATCAGTGAAGAAGGTGAAGCTTCAGTCTTTATGAAAGCAGTATGAGAATTTCAACATGAAGGACAACGAGAAGGTAACTGAGTACATCTTCAGAGTGATTCTAATCACTAATGAGATGAAAGTTTGTGGAAAAACCCTTTCTGAACAAGTAATCATTGAGAAGATATTGAGGTCTCTTACCTCTTAATTTGATTACGTTGTTGTAGTAATTTAACATTTTAAAGATCGGGACACCATGAGAATAGAAGAGCTGCAAAGCAGTCTAGAGGCGCAAGAGTTGCGTCTGACTGAAAGAACTTCTGAGAGGGAGGTTGAGCAGGCTCTGAAAGCTTCTTTTGTCAAGAAGGACCAGAAGCATAAAAGATATGGTAGGTCTCAGAAGTCAGAAGTCTTCTATTCTGATGAGAAGAAACATCATAATGGAAAGGATAAGTATGATAAGAGAATGATTCAATGTTACTATTGTAATAGGTTTGACCACTTTGATAAAGATTGTAGGTCAAAAAAGAAGAAGCTAAAATAGTCAGAGGAGATTCTGATGATGAACATGTGTTATTGATAACTTATGAATATGATGAAGAACCTATGATATTGTCATTTTCTGATTCTGAAGGAGAAGAAGAAGATGACTCTGAATATTTTAAAGGAGTGTTTGAATATGAGTCAGAATCAAAAAATGAATTTGAATCAGAATTCAGGTTTGTTTCTGTAGATGAGTCAGAGTCAAAAAAATGACTCTGAAGCTGAAGACAAGTTAGAATTCGAAGGTGATTCTGAGTCTGAAGAAGAATCAAAAGATGAGTCAGGATCTGAAGAATATTTTGCTTCTGAAGATGAATCAGAACCTGAAGGTTTTGAAGATGAGTCAGAACTTGAAAGTTCTGAAGTCGAGTCATAGTCAGAAGATGAAAATAATTCTGAAGGATCTGAAGATGAGTCAGGGGGTGAATCAGATTCTAATCCAGATTTTGACGATGATCTAGAATCTGGTGGTGATCATGCTTCTGGAAGGGAAAATTGAAAAGCATATGTTCTGGAGGAAAAGCTTCTGGAGGTAATCATGTTTCTGGAGGTGGTACTTATGAAGATAGGGGTTATGGACGAGGTTCAGAAGCTAACAAAAGTGGAGCTTCTGGTGGTAGTCGAACTTCTGAAGAAAGTCCAGAAGGAGATACGGTTTCAGAATTAGAAGAAGATTCTGAACAAGTCCAAGGCTACAACGAATCCGACAAATATCAAGGAGATTTGTAGAGTTTGACATGCTGCAAGACACTGAAGGGACTCTGAGGTATGGAGTGTTATTCCCTTCTAATGTGAAGAATGATGCAGAGATGATATGCTATTCAGACTCTGATGAGTGTGATGACAGGGTTGATAGAAGAAGTACTTCTAGATATGTTTTCAAGTATCTGGGAAATCCTATATCTTGGTGCTCCAAGAAGCCATCAGTGGTTGCGTTGTCAACCTGTAAAGCTTTCAAGAATGAATAATTTATCCGTTTGAGGGATGAAATTGGTGTTGTGAATTTTGGTTAGTTGAATATGAATTAAGAGATGTTGTTGGAAGTAATTCATATTCAGAAGTTGCTGTTAGAGTCAGAAGTAGTGTTACTCAGAAGCAGTAGAGCTTCTGAGGTTGTTAGTCAGAAGCAGAAGCTTCTGAGGTTATGTCCAAAAGTATGTTTAACTTCTGGGGTTCCAGTTATTTTGTTAGCTTAGCTATTAAGTTAACTTAATCTTTAAATTTATCTTTTATTAGGTCATACGTAACAATTTACTTTGTGTATAAATAGAATAGTGGTAATTATCATATTTTAATAATCAATCTTCCTTTAATTTTTGGTAGCCGCCATTGCAGAGTAATTAATATATTCTCTCATTCTTTCTGTATTTCATCATCTTGTGCACTAATATTTAGTACATCGGTGATAGTTTTCTAATAACTAGATAGTTACTTGCAAAAAAAAAGTTTAGTATTTTAACGTTTATGTAAATAAAAGATTGAGGTGAAACTTTTTAAGTATGAGTTGAATCCTATACTACTTATATGGAAGAGGTTGTTCTAGTTGTCTTTGGATTGTCAAGCGTGGGAGTAAGAATGATTGTTGGATGAAAATCAACAATTTTGATAGGAGGAGAGGTGTGCTCATGTGTGGTGCAATCAGATGTAGGTCCACATGTACATAAATGTGTTGGGTTTAGAATGAATTAAGTCAATAGATTGATTTGGTGCCAATCCGAAGTTGTTTCCCTCCAAGTTCTTGTTTTTAGTCATGAAGCAGGGATTGTTGTCATGAAATAAGACCGACCTAGAAGTGTGAATCATGGTAACATTGTCTGCTGAGATATTTCTCTTTGACGTGTATGCTCCTTGGAGAAGGCGTTATGTGGTGGTCATGATTAGTGAGAGTAGTTCGCAGTTGGAACATGCACATTAAAGCAAGAACTTACGTTTTATTCTTCACTTCAAGGGGTTATTGGAGAGTGTTTTCATTTAATACTTTTTGTTTCATCTTTGTAGTTGGAGGTTCTCAAATTCCAATTTCTTTGTCACTCAATTTACTTTTGTCTCTACCTGATCCAAAACCAGTATTACGGCCCATGAATGAATGAGACTCAAAAGTACAAAGTCCAATAAAACAAGAGACACTTGGGGTGGGGGAGCACTATTAAGGGTGAAAAAAGTAACTCTCTTTCTTGTTTGACTTTTTAACAAAGCCTTATCAACAAAGTCCCAAGTTTATTATGAACTGGAAATATATTTCTAGAAATTCTGAAAATATATTTCCAATTTCTATATAAATTCAACTTAAAAAATATACGCAATGAAAATATATTTCTGATTTTCAGAGACATTTTAAAAAATGTTTCGAGTTTTTCTTTTCACTATAGGTGAAAAGAGAAATTCTCTAAAATTATCCTAGTCTAAGAATAATGTTGGAAGGGACTGAATACATATTTTTTCAGGCAAGTGAAAGAATTTTGAAATCTACCTCTCTTTGGCGTACAAGTTTTTTCTTGTGTTATTGTTTACATGAGGAAACTTCTCTTTAAGTTTACGTCATTGTTAGCTTCCATTATCAAAGCAATAGAGAGAAATTTGAATATTCTGATTTTAAGAATTCATGTAGCAAACATGTAAATGAGTTTACTCTTCGTCAGCCACGCCATTTTCTTTCTACACTACTTGGATTGTCAAAGAATGCCAACCCTCTCACTCTGTTCTTCATGAAAATGGGTTGGAAATAGCTCCAACACGATGAAACATCGCCGATTTTTACAGAGATGTTCTTAGAAATTACATGAAACGAAATTCAAATGAGCAAAGATTTGGATATAAAGATTTTTACAGAGATGTTTTTACAGAGAAGTTCTCACATCAATTCAAACATACCCTTAAACAAAAATTGTAACAAGCATATAAAGGTAAACAAACAAGTGGAGAGGGAAAAAGACAGCGTTTAAGTATTATTTTCCAAAAAGAGAGAACACTTGATTTAGTTTCAACTAACAAAAAGGGTTAGTCAGTGTCCTCTTTACCGGTGCCTTCCTCATTTTGCACGGTATCCGGAGAATTCGCTGCCGAGTTTTCAGCAGTAACGGCACCGTTACTATCATCATCTTGGTTGGTAAAAAGAGAAGAAAACGAAAATGGATTGCAGGTGGAGCTCGCTTTCTGAAGACCCTTTATGGCTCTCATAGCAGCAAGAGTGCTTCGATATAAATACATAGGTTCCTCCTCTCCAAGAGTTGAGGATGACTCAGGTAAGGTATTCGTTGTATTATCTCCCGCTGGATGAGAAGTTGATTGAATTACTTCTTCTTGTAAGGGAAAGAGTAGTTCGAGATTTTCCTCGCATTCGTGAACTAGCCTTGTCAGAGGCTCGGTAGTGAAAAAAGGTTGTCGGAGAACAATTTGTGTAAAAGGAAGACGCAGCAAACCGCCAGTTCTTTTATCATACTTTTTCAAAATTTTAATTAGTCCTGTTGAAGTGGAGGAAATATGTTAACATCATCAAAATCGACAATTATCCTACTTCAACCTCATCAGACATATACAATATATGAATCACATAATATACAAACTGTCATACTCTAAAGACACTGGTACACGACACGGCACCGACATGTAGATACCATATAGTTTAAGAAAATATAACGTAACAAAATGTGTTGGCGTCGTGTCAGACACCAAACACATTCAATATAAAGTGTCAGTGCTGCATACATATTTCATACATACTTAAATCGAAACGATACATGTTAATCATATGTTGTACCTGCAAAGTTTAAGGAGCTATAGTTTTTTAGGAGCACCATCTCTCCATGGATGGTAACCAAGTCCTTCCTAATGTCCATCATTTCTTCACTAAATTCACAATCAGAAGTGTACTTTACACTCTTGCTGCTTTTTTCTTTAAGACGCTCAATTCTCTCTTTCAGCTCCTGTTCAAAGTTGCAGATCAAAATCAGTAAACAACATTACAGCTGAAAGATATTCTCCCGGCATTGATCAAAATATTCGCATTGTCAATTAACCACAATTAGTTCTTTATCATAAAAATTGTGAATAACATATCAGTATCAAAATCTTCAAATACTGTTTTGTCGCAGTCGTTTTCACGGTGACCAATAATTATCGGGTTTGATCAGGGTTTTACTCAAATCCTCAATCAAGCAAACAAAAACAAAAAGTTTTAATTTTGATTAACCAAATAGACAATTGAATAGAAATAAGCAAGAATCAAAAAAGGGTTTTTGAGACAGAAAACCTGAAATCGGATAACAAAGTCTTCCTCTTTGTCAACGTAGAAATCATTAAACTTTTCAAGCTCTTGATTGAGAATCCGAAGAAACCAGGCCTGCAAGATGTTAGGAGAAAAGGGTTGTTGAAGAAAGTGAAGATGAAGATTGATGGGTGTGGTGGTGGTGGTGGTGGTGGAAGGCAAGTGATGTTTGAGAAGCTTCTTCAATGGTTTGTAGCATAGAAATTTGTCTCTCCATTCAGGGATTGTTTCTTCCAGATGGGTTTTGAACTCTTTGCCGAATTTCATTGATGATTATTTTGATAATTGGGGTGAAATGATTTTGTGATTATCAAATTAGGGTTGAAAATTTAATTTGAAAAGGATTGGTTTCGGAAAAGAGTGAAAGATTCGAAAGAATCTAGGAATGTTTATTTATGGAAAGTGGGTATAACATGGTGGATCATCTTTAATGTTTTAAGGACAATACATAAATACAAATTTTTTTAGGTTTTCGAGGTGTAGTTTATTTTATCTTTTTAAAATAAAAATATGATAAATATATTAAAATATCTTTTAAAAAAAAAATAAAAAAAATAATATATTTATCATATTTTTATTGGAAAAAAAAGTATAAATCACACCTAAAAATTATTTCATTTATATTTTTTTTATATTTTAAAATAAATATTTTTAAAATATGAATATAATATTTATTATATTTTTTATTAGTATATTCTTATTAATTAATTTTCACGCTTTTCAATTATTCAATTAATTATAATAAATAAGAATATTTTAATAAATAATATTAATTTTATTATTAAAATCAATAAATCTAATTATTTTCTTAAGAACTATGTAGGGTTCAAATAAAACACTTATTATGAGACTAAAGGAGTAATAAAATACCTGTACGCGTATGTATTTGTAAAATTATATTATAAATGAAATGAAAGAAAAATAAAATTGTTTAACTAATAAAATTTATTACTCTTAAAAAGATAATACACTATATTTATAATTTTTTTTATATAAAATTATTTGAATCAATAATATATAAATATTACTTTTGTTTTGATATTAATTAAAAAAATATTTAAATTAAGGGTAAAATTATTTCGATTATTATTTAATATTTTGATCAATAATTTTGTTTTTCTTTCCCATTTCATATAATTTTCATATTAAAAAAACAAAATTTTATTGAAATGTTAAATAAATATAATATTCTTAATTAGCTATTAAAACTTAAAGTAAATATTGAATTTTGATATTTAGTTTGAAATGTCAAATATTTATTTACTTTTGAAAATATATATATATATATATATATATATATATATATATATATATATATATATATATATATATATATATATATATATATATATATATATATATATATATATATATATATATATATATATATATATATATATATATATATATATATATATATATATATATATATATATATATATATATATATATATATATATATATATATATATATATATATATATATATATATATATATATATATATATTTTAAATAACGCCTCATATATTAAATAAAAATAAACATTACAAAAGATCAAGCAAAAAGCCCATCAAAAGGTAGAACTTAGCTTAGTTTGTACAAAGTTATTCATAATGTCAATAGGAATGGACTTGAAAATGGTGAGAGAAGAAACATAAAGACCTAAATTAGTCAAAAAGTCTGCACAATTGTTTCACTCTCTACGAATGTGAGAAATGAAAAGATTCATGTGTGTAAAATAAGCTAAACAAGAGAATCATTGGTTTCTGAAATGCCAAGGCACAAGGGAAGAGTTACTGAATGCGTGCACTACATTAACGAAGTTCGTTTCTAACCATAGTTTTGACCAACCTTTGTCCATCGCAATCTTCATGGCATAAATTACCGTAGAAAATTCAGCAAGAGAAGACGAAAGAAAAACCACTTTGTTTGCAAAAGCTAGAATAAAATTACCAAGATGGTCCCAAAAAATACCTCCACAACCGACAGGAAGAGAATTATAAAGATAAGCACCATCACAATTTCACTTCATCCAGCCTACCGGAGGAGGAAGCCAAAGCACTTCTTTGATAACTAGAGCTTTGGAAGGACGGGCCTTAATGTTAAAGGCTTTCAAGATCTTGAAATCATCAATAGATGTGGAAGTCGTAGCTTCCGTGTTAGCGCCTGTAATGAGCAGCTGAGTTTTAATTTTATGTATAGTAAGCCTTATGCTGGGAGCGATACCCCGAAATTTGTCAAATTTATGGATTCCCACAGGTTTGAAAGAATATAGGTAATAACATCTTTTAGCACTAGAGAACATTGTTTCGATCTATTGGTAGAACAAGCTGTCCACCAGTCTTCCAACATCTGAGGAGGATTTACCAAGTTAATATTTGATCATACCTTACCAGAATGGATCCTTAGTGGCCTGTAACACTTGAACTGAACGGCGATTGAAGAAGAAGTGGGGGTACCTGTAAGATACTCTGATGCCAAAGTGTGGTTCAGAGTGAAAATGCAAGTAGAGAGTTAGAGTGAATAGAATAATGTACCTGGCCCTCCAGCGAAATAGGGTATTTATAGCCCCTAGCGTTGGGCCAAGGTCTCTATTTGGGCTAGGTGTTAAGGCCCAATATGGAGATAGCCAAGATTCACATGAGTGAGGTAGAGCGGCATATGCCCACAATCCTGGGTCAACTATCCCGCAATCCTCGGATAGTGGATGACCAGTTCTTCATGGGGGGCAAGAGGTTTTGTGAGATTCGGGGAAGTTGTCCATGTTCCAAGGGAGGGGCACGTGGAAGTGATTCCCCAATGATCATGACTACTTGGGCCACAATGTTGGGCCTTTCTTGAGATGGTGCCAAACTGGGCCATGTGTAACGCCCCAGGCTGTCTTCGGGATTATCGACTGACCTCACAAACCAACACGGGTCTTTTCAGCGTGTTTTATCCTCACTCACACGCTTTCCGGGAAACTTCTCAGAAGGTCGCCCATCCCAATACTACTCCAAGTCAAGCACGCTTAACTATGGAGTTCTTATGAATGAGCTACCAAAAAAAAGATGCATCTTGTTGGTATAGGTAGTACCAATTATTTCTTATAAGCTTTCCTTCAACCATGCAGTCTCATACCTGTATAGCCTCATGATCCCTCTCATTCCGATGTGGCGACCACCTTTTCCCTCTTAGGCCCTGGGTGTTACAGGCGGTGCAACCACTCCTCGCCCTTTTTGACCTCGAGTGTTACACCATGCCTTATGGTGGATCAACCACGGGCCCAGTCCAGAATAATACTCTTATAAAACCAAAGCCATTTTTTTGGAAAATGGATAATCAAAGAATAGATGATTGACAGATTCAATACATTTGGAAATAATATAACAATCACGATGGATCAACTTGTTGTCTGTCGGCACCTTGTCAAGCATAAATTTCTAGATAAAAATGGACTTAGAGGGAGAAATATATTTGCACCAAATCACTTGAGCCCAACCAAGCGGAAGAGAAAAATACTTGAAATGATAAGCCTCTTTCAAAGAGAGGCCGCCGAAACTGCCATAAGGCCAAACCAGAGAGTCTTCCATATCAAAAAAAGAATAAATACTAAAGTTTAATCTTTGTTGAATTAAAGAAAGTAATAATACTAATTATCCGGAAAAGACCAAGTGCCATCAACAATAAAGTCAACCACCTTAGAGTTAATAGACAAACTAAGATCAACAATAAAGGCAGAGCAAGTTTCTAACAAAAAAGGTGTGCCACACCATGCATCTTTCCAAAACATAATGGATTTACTATTGCCTAAGGACCAACGTGATTTTAGCTTAACAGTGGGCAATTCAAATCTGACAGTTGTCCATATAGAAGAGAAAATATGATATTTAATAGTACCGTAATATTTGAAAACTCTACCTTTGAGAATAGTTTCCCAATATTCATTACTTGTTAAGAGATCCCAAGCATGATTTAAATTAGCTTCATTAAGATTCAAAATAGATCTTAGGCCAAGACCGCCATGAGCTTGAGGCCTACACATTTTGTCTGAAGCCACCTGCACAAGCTTCCTCTCCGAAATGAAACTGCTCCATATGAAATTTATGGCTGCTTTTTCAATTTACTTAAGTAAATTGACTAGCCAAGAATAATAATAAATCATATGAATCAACATGCTTTGGATAATCGATTTAACAAGGAGAACCTAACCTTCCATCGAAAGAGATGCACATTTCCAACCAGCCAACTTAGAGATGATTTTGTCAGTTATTGGCCTTATATGAATAGCTTTAACTCTCCCTTTAAAAATGGACGACCCTGAGTAAATAAAAGGTAACGAAACCCTGAAAAAACCGGTCAGCACAACAAGATGCAACATCTTGGAGTGAGAGATAGAACCTGAAAAGATGCAGGATTTAGCGTTATTAATTTTCTGACCAGAAGTAGTGGAGTATATATAGAATAAACCCATGAGAGCTTGTATGTTAGCCACATACCATTTACAAAAGATTAAAATATCATTCGCATAAAGTATATGAGATGGAATATAAATTTCCTTGCTACTTTTAATGAGTTTAAGAACTCCCTCTTCCACTAACTTTGTGACGCTCGTGCTCAAAACCTCTTCCGCTAAAAAAAACAAGACAGATGGGGTGATCTCCCTGCCTGACCCCCCTATTGCAATTGAAGTAGCCATAAGAATTACTGTTAATAGAAACTGACAGAAAGGTAGAAGAAAGAATGGTCTGAATCTAATTGCAAAAAGTGTCATTAAAACCATACTTTTTGAGAACACCGATAATAAACTCCCAATTGATAGTGTCAAAAGCTTTTGCAATATCGACTTTAAGGGCCAGATTACCTCCAAAAGCTTTGCTATCCATATGATTGATGGCCTCATAAGCAGTGCAATTATAATCCTTTATGCACCTACCTTTGATGAAACCACGTTGTTCCTTGGAAACCAGAGTTGGCATGAAAACCGAGAGTTTATCTGCAACAATCTTGGATATAATCTTGAACATGAAGTTTGCAAGAGAGATGGGCCTGAACTTGTTCGTAGTGTCAGCATCCTATGCTTTTGGCAGCAGAATAATAATATTGGAGTTGTAGTTTCTCATAATCCACCCGAACTTAAAGAATTGCAGCACCATGTTACTAACATCCTCTTGAATAATAGACCAATAAGTGTGATAGAAATAAACACCAAAGCCGTCAGAACCAGGAGCTCTCTTTTTATTAAGGTTGAAAATGACTTGCTTAATTTCATCTAGAGAGGGAATAC